TGCAGAGCCTCGGGATGCTACTGCTATAACAGCAGTCATGCCACAAAGAAGTTGGGAGGAGGGCTTTGATCATCTACATAAAATGCCACCCTGAAAGGAAGGAGCACTACTGAATTCTGTGACAAGTCTAGGTTCTTGAGATAGTTGAAAAGTAATTTATTTATTGAAAACATGAGTTTGTCTCTTACATTTCTACTGTTCTCTTCAACAATCACTTACTATATACAAGAAGTGTTAGCATTCTTTGAGAGCAGTTTTTCTATATATAATCTGACATAGCCACTAGATATTTGGCCAAGATGTTCCCCACCAAAGAGGCTACTGGATCCACATTCCCTGCTAAGAAGATAAAGAAATAATAGCTTGAATTTTCCTACACCATTTCTATGGAAATTTGTCTGTCTTGTCCCCTTCTAACATTCTAGCATATTTTGAACATTTAATACCATTTAAAAAAAAACACAAAACAAAAGTTGCCTCATTTGTATTTTGCTCATATTGACTCATTAAAGACAGATGGCTTCTGGCCAGCAGTGATTTGAATTAGATTGTATCCTTTCGACAGGTTACATGAGACAAATCAAACTGTACAGGCTACCTGGCCCACAATAAACCATTGATTTTTCTTTCAATCTTTCAATCAAAAATAGTGTGGTACTTCATGTACTTGCAAAATATCCTAGAGGAATTTCATTTTCTGGTTCATCATAAACTTACAAACACCAGTGAATTGAAGCATCTATAAATTTAAGACATCTGAAATATGAATACATGATAATTGAATAAAAATGTTGATAAGGTAATGACTTGACAAGGAATCCTTTTTTGGAGGCTAAATTAGAGTTTTTTTCACATTGATATATGAATGGGTCTAATTTTTGTCTTAATCTGGTTAAAAAAAATAAAAGTTCATAAAATGCAGAAATATGAAAAAGAAAGTTAAAAGACAAGAAAAAGACATCAAAGACAATAATAAAGTGGCTTTGAACATTGATGACACACCAAGCAAAAACTAATATACTAACTTTCACCCTCTTTTAAAGTTGCAAATGAGACCTCTTCTGTTCTCCCTTTTTATCTTTTATGTAATTTTTATCTATATAAAGTCCAGAAATCATCTTTTCGATCCCAGTTCAGCAAAAGGTCCAGAAATATCAACAAATAGTTTATCGCTGTTCAAGTAGCCCAAATTTGTATTTCTTTTTTGCTCTGCACAACCTTAATCTTTAAAATCATTCCAATGATATTGGCAGGATTTGATTTTTCATCACATTTTTTGCATTTAAAGGGAGTCTTCAAACCTTTCACTAACCTACTTTGTAAAGCCCATAAGGAAGCATTGTCTAAGATTTCCTGTCACAGCTGTTCCACGTCCAAATCCTTTTCTTCATTTGTCTTTTGTATTTGCATTTTGGTAATCGCAATTTCTTCCATGCTTTCAAACTCTATAATATCTATATAGGTAAACATTTTTAAAGTTTTTCTCATCATGTTCTAAAAGTCTATCCATTGAAATCTATATTAGTTATTAATATTTCAGTCCATGTTTCAAAAACTTTGAAAAAAAGTTAGCGCTGGCTTATCCATTTTAACTCTTTTGGGCCTCATTCCTTAGTTTTTTACAGTGTCCATTTGCAACCTTCATCAAACTTCAATTTCTAATATGGGTTTAGCTCAGTTTCAGTCATTTCCCACAAGTATATTACTAAATTATATACTTGTTTTTTTAAATATTATCACAAAAATAACCAATATTCCTAATCTCTCTGATCCCCCAATCTCTTTAAAACTTTCTTAATGAAAATCCCCCCTTTTTTGCTTTTGTCAATTGTATATTATTTTAAATTTTTAATTTCTTTTTAAAATTTATTAGATCCAAATAAGAAGGTAATACTCACCAGGAGTCATATTAAGCTCACTGTTTTTAAGGTCTCTAATATCTATAAAGTAATTAAATTGAACTTTTCTGAATGTGATTAGAAAGTAAATTTGGCTGGCTTAGTGTCCTTATGAAAGGCTCTGCCACTGCTGAGACCTAATCTCCCTCAGCCTCTGGCGCTCAGAACTGTGAGAGATTGCTATTTTACAGTCTCCTTATGAAGAGCTACTGTTCAGAGCACTCATGGGTAATTTCCCAATCTTTCTTTCTCCAGAGAGATTCAAGGGGAAGTCTACTTGCCAATCTTTCATTCTTTACAGCAGTTGTCTCCATTTGTTCACAAAGAGTTCTTCAGTCAGTCATGACTCACACTGGAAACCTACCTTCTTAATTTTCAATATAACACAACATTTTATTCCTGAATTATAATATTATTATGTGGAAAATCTGGACTTTTTTTCCCTCAGACAATAACTATTTAATAAATACATGTGATACTATCAGTTTTGTTGCTGAAATTACATACTTGTGCAGTAGAATATAGTATAATTATATTCATAATGAAACCCTCTAAACAGAACATTTGTTTTAATGTGCATTAATGTGTCCCTCAGCACCATTATCAGCTCATAAAGTCATTCCACTTATTTATTATGCCATTGTGGAAAAACCTTATAATATTTGGCAAACTTAAAATCTAAAATAAAAGAGAAGCCAAAATAAGCATAATAATATAACACTGTGATCCTCTGTAATTCAAATCATTGCATACTTGCCATCATAATGTGTTGCTAGATTTCTCTGGAAACATTTTATTAAATAAATTAAAAAAAACATACTGTCTCTCAAAATGTTAATATTTTTATTCATATCTCTAAAATTACTTGTGCTGGTACTCCATTTTCAATTTGCGTTTCATTGCCTTTTATGCTTATATTTCCAACTTTATTAAAACTGTTTAGTTTTTGTATCCATTAAAGAACATACGTGTTTCATTCAGCTGATGTTTAAAAATGAGACAGAAATTCTTTATTTTTTAAATATAATTCTATACCCAGGAACCTATGATTTATCTGAAACAGCATCTAACAGAGTCACTGAGAAGGGAGGGAGGGAGGGGGAGAGAGAGCGATCGAGAGAGAGAGAGAGAAGAAGAAGAAGAAGAAGAAGAAGAAGAAGAAGAAGAAGAAGAAGAAGAAGAAGAAGAAGAAGAAGAAGAAGAAGAAGAAGAAGAAGAAGAAGAAGAAGAAGAAGAAGAAAGAGAGAGAAAGAGAGAGAGAGAGAGAGAGAAAAAAAGAAAGAAAGAAAGAAAGAAAGAAAGAAAGAAAGAAAGAAAGAAAAGAATCCTTGATTCCAAAATCAAAATGTTTGCCTGCCTTTGGCAGTTTTTTCTTCTTTTTCTTTGCAAAGGGCCAAGCTAGGCATGCCTTGTAAGTTCAATAGTTAAGAAATTTCAGCTTTACTTTTCTGGCTTAAAACCATCAAGAATATATTCCTAGAGGAAACTGGCTAAATTTTAATCTTGTGCCCACGGAGGTGCTGCAATGGCTGCAAGTATCATTTGTTCAGTGCCACCATAACTTGGAACAGTTGCTCAATGAATGATCATAATTCAAAGACTACCTACATTGCTAATTTCTCTGAATAAAATATATATCTACCTTCTCTGGTAGGCTATATGAAAAGGACACAGACACTGTTTTGGCAGTCTGGTTAAATTAGTGCAAAATGCACTCTGAAGTTCTTCGAGGAGACATGGAAAGATGGGCAATTCCTCTAGTCAACCCTTTTGTAATGACAGGACAAAAATGCTTCAGACAATTCCCCCATCACATGAAGATAAAAGAGGGAGAAGAGGAAGTATATTTAGACTTGCATAATTCTGTTATAGGTTTTCTAGTAAAAATTAGTTTTAGACTTATAGAGTGTCTGTTTCTTAGTCCAGTCTGCCTTATGGAGCTGACATAAGGTAGCTGGGGGCTACCTCTTTTAGGGGAAACCTATATGTTTTCCACTTAGAGTGGATCTTACTTCCTAATTTTGATATTAGGAAGTAAGATCTATATATTTATTTGAAACATATGCCTGGACGATGCAAAACAGACTTTTTATTTCAAAGTGGGGAGTCATGGGAAGTGAATTTCTAGGTCCATCATCAATAGGTGAGGCAGAGCTTGTATCATCTTGATACATTCTTCCAATAACAAGCAGGTACAAAGGGAGACTGTGAGTCACCCTGTTAAGAGAAGCAGCAGCTTTTACAGCATTAGATGTAGGGTTCCTCTAGAAGATATTTGGAGAGCAATGACCACCTTCCCTAAACATTGCAGTGGTGATGTGAGTTAACTCAAATTATTGCTCAGATTAATGTCTCTGATTTTATCTGTTTTTTTAAACATCTCTCTAATAAATACAGTAGTGGCCAAAATTGTGGAAACCTTTTGGGAAAAGTGTATTTTTGAGGTTTGATGGCTAATAACACTACTTTTTGGGGGGGGGAGTAGTACCATAAAATTATATATCAATGGAAAGATAATTTAATCAAGAATGTAATACAACAAAGTTTGTTCAATTATCTGTACTGTATTCTATGAAACATTATAGCCAAATAACCAGAAAAAGGAAGCACAACCTGCTTAGGTTGATATCAGGTAGCTTTCCTTCATCTGATTGTAGCCAATGAGCATGAGTGTTGAGAGAGCCAATCAGGTGTCATCTTGTTTTGGCAATGAGCCAATCAGATCACAGTAGGATTCAGTTATTGATATCATGTACTGAAGCTGAGAGGAGGACAATTTGTCAGTGTGTTATGTGATCGCTATCAAGTTGGTTGGGTTTTTTTGTGTTCTTTTGTTTAGTGAGCTTGTAAAATGTAATAAAATTAAAGTAATGGTGCAAAGAGTTGACTGGTTGTCCAGAAAGCGATGTAAAATAGTATTATTAAGTGAACAAGGCTACAGTTATAAAGAAATTAGAAGAAAAGTTGGTGGAAACTTAACCAAAGGTGGCATTTCTACTGTACACTTTTCCCAAAAGGTTCCACAATTAAATAATTAGAACAAGATCATTTTACTATTTCTTTTCTGTATCTAATGCTATATATCTGTGTATTGCATTTAAGGCTTGTGACAGAGATCTGCAATGTGGTGGAGGCATGTGCTGTGCTGTTAGTCTTTGGATCCAAAGTCTTCGAATTTGTACACCAATGGGCATCTTTGGAGAAGATTGTCATCCATTAAGTCATAAAGTTAGTGTGTTATATAATATTCTGGTCTTGTGTAATGTTAAACATAGAACAAAATATTAATATAAATATTAGCTATAAACCAAACTTCATAAAATAATATTCTCCTTGCAAAAGTTAAGAAAGTTTTCTATCTATCATTATTCATATTGTACAATATCTTATAAAAGATCTAAGGCAAAGTAGTCTTTTGCATTGTAGAACTTGATCAGCATGTTATTATCTACTTTTACTTGATCTTTTGTCCTTTAACCATTTAAAAAAAAATGTTAAAGGAGAAAGACAAACTATTAGGATTTCTTGGATGTGGGGCAAGCAACATGGATTTGAATTTGAACTCCACCAAGACAACATGAAAGATGTGATCTCAAACATCTGGAAGGAATCAGGTTGTCTATTCGTTACATTGGGAAACTTCTTTTAAATTGAGTACTTTCATTTCTACTGAGCTCCTAATTGCCATCTTTCTGAACCAAATTATGATGGTCACTATGACTAAAGTTCCTCTTGTGTTACCTATACAGTATTATCCAAAGAATTTACATAGAATGTGATATGAAAAGATGTTAAACATTTTTATTTTAATTTCAAAAACTTCCTTTAACTACTAAGTTAAAGTTGAATCCAGACTGTTAGTTGCACAATCCCCATTCAAATAAGTGGGAACAAAAATCACAAAGGTATAGCATAAATTTCAGTGGATCAAACCTCCTGTTAATTTAAGCTTTTGAAATTTTAATTTGATATCAAACTTCTGGAATTTCTGAATGTATTACAATTGCACCCCCCAGAATTTATGTTCTTATAGCAGAAGATTGGAAAAGGCACCAATATATCATGAATATATCTATTAACTGATAGATTTAAACATGTTTACACTATCCTATTTATTGCCAATTATGCAGACAGAACAATTTCTTGTTTGTAGTTATTGCTTCACTCCTCTTTATTAATCATGCATATTTACTATCATTTATTTTCTAGTACATCCAATGTGTCTTTAAGGAGACAGAGAAAATAGTACAATAATTGTAATTAACAGAAGTTTCTTGCTAGGCATCAAAGACACTCACAACTGAGTAACCAACCTATAATATGCAGTTGGTTGAAGCTATCGAAATGCTTCATCTAAACCAGTGGTTCTCAACCTTTTTAATGCCGCGACACCCAACCGGTCATAAGTCAAGGACTACTCAACCGGTCGTAAGTTGAGGACTACTCAACTAGTGCAGCATCGTTTGCAGAATGGGATTTTTGGCGGGCTCAGCAGGGCAGAGACAGCCTGGACAATTCCTATTGGCTTTTGAAAGCCAATAGAATTAGACTCTATTCAAGAGAGTCTATTCTATTGGCTTTCAAAAGCCAATAGAATAAAAGGGAGTAGCACAGCTAAGGAAAAGGGAAAAAAATGGCGGATTGCGTTGTTTGGCGACCCCCGTGAAATGGTCGTTCGACCCCAAATGGGGTCCCAACCCACAGGTTGAGAACCACTGATCTAAACAAATTGCCACACTGGAGTTAGTAAATATATGAATTGATTCTTCAAAGCTGATACTTCCATAATGTAACATGGTCACTTTTGTTATGACACATTCAGTAGTCAATATCATGCCATAGAAATAGTTAATATTACCATGGGAAAATAATATGCTACAAAGAAGATAGAATAACTGGAATGGCATATCTGTGAAGCAGTTTGAAGTGCGGAAAGTATATTAATAGGCACTGAATCAAAACATTGCTTAGTTTTTCAGGGAGTCACCCTATGATTTAACTCTAAATATTTCTTTCCAGATTCCATTTTGGGGAAGAAGAACGTATCACAGCTGTCCCTGTGAACCTAACTTGGCTTGTGTCCGGATTTCTCCAAGCAAATACAAATGTTTACCAGAGTTCAAAAATGATGACATCTATTTTTAGCAGAAGGATGGTGAAGAATTCTGTGTCATTTCATATTTCATGAATGAAGACCTCTATTTGTTACTGTGATGACATTGTTTGACAGGAAATTTAGACTATATTTTCTAGCCTTATTATTAAGATACCATATTTAAGATTAGTGTTTCCCTTAGACAAGTACAGTTTCTTTATATTTTTATCACCCAAATAAGGATGAGCTGAGGTAGGCCTGTTAAGAGGTGCTAGCTGGAATACAGCCCATCGTCCATGCTTGACAGACCAAGGGAGACCCAGTATATTTTGCTGCATACAGAAATATTATTGGCAATGTCATAAAGGTAGACAAATTGGGCTACAAGTAGAGCACATCTAGAAAAAAAGGCATACTATTGTCAAATTCTTTCTACTAAAATGCTCAAATCCAGAGCATTTAGTAACCAGTATCACCAAATCAGTTTGGAAGGTTTTCCTTAGCCTGCCAAACTGAATGAACATATCACTCTTACTGATCACGGAAAAAAATTAAAAAGCAAAGAAATCACCTCATCCAACTCCTGGTGGATTTGTACTAGCAAGTTTGGAAAGAAAACGAGCATTTTTCTATTAGAATCTCTGGTCTTTAAGAGAAAAATAACATCACATTATCTGTGTGAGAATGAATTAATTTATATTAGCTCCAGAACTAGAATGGATTTGATGTTGGTAGGGGTGTATGTCAGATTGTGTGTAATATGTGTTTCTGTTGCTGCACTTCGGAGGTACAGTTGGAATGCCCATCTTCTATTTGGGAATGTCAATGTGTACTGGACAACCTGTGTCCCATTGGATCATTATTTCAGAGATACTTCCTTACCTAAACCAAGACAGAATGACCGTGGGATCAGGAGCAACTTTCAACTTCCTGCTAGCTTCCCCATTGAATTTCCTTGTGGGAAGCTGTCAGGAGCATTAAAAATCTTCCTTCCCTTCTCCCTTTTCTCTTCTCCCTCTGTCATTCTGTTATCTTCCTTCCTTCTCTTCCTCCTACCTTTTCTTCCCTCCCTTCCACTCTTCCTTCTACCCTTCCTTTCATTCTCTCTCACTCCCTTCTTCCTTCCCTGCCTCCTTCCCATTCTACTTTCATTCTGTCATTATCTTTCTTCCTTCCCTCTCTCCCTCAAATTCCTTCCGGCTTCTCCATTTACTTTACCTGTGGGAAACTAGCAGGGAGAAAGTCAATGGAGAAGCCAGCAGGAAGTTGCAAGTCCAAGAACAGCAGGTAGGTAAGTGGCTGCTGTTGGGTGAGGGAGGGAGCAAAGACGTGCATGAGAGGTGCCACTGGGTTGGGAAAGGTTGGGTATATGCAATGGGTCAGGGATGGCATGCAGATGGGTGGCCTACGCTAAGAAAGGTGCCTAGGGTTGTGTGAGAGATATTGTGTGGATTGTGCAGGGGGTGGAGGCACTGCAGATCAAGAAGAGTGAATGGATCATAGGGATGTATAAGAGATGCTGTGAAGTCAAGTAGGGCATGCAAGGGATTGCAGAGAGCAAGAAGAATGTAAGGAGGTTGCAGGTGTGTGTGAGAGGTGTTGCACCAGTCAGGGATAGCGTGCAAGGGAGTGGCATGAGTTGGGAAGTTTGCCTGAGATTGCTTGGAAGATGGCAAGAGGCTCCATGCAAGTCAGAGACAACACGCATGGAGCAGTATGGGTTGGGCAGGGGTGCACAAGTCATACCGCATAGATCGAGAAAGGCACACAGCAAGGGTCAGGTTGGGGATGGGGTGTAGGGATGCACAAGTGATGCCACATTGGTGAGGAAAGGTGTATGGGGAATGGCACAGTCAGGAAGGGCTAATGGGAATACACAAGAAGTGTTGTCTGAGTCAGGGAAGGCACACAATGGGGGCAGGTCAGATTATGGGGCTAAAGGTGCAGCAGCAGCCAGTAGCACTGAAGACCCATAACTTCCTCAAATTTCATTCTTAAGCGACATTCTTACGCTTTTCTTTAAAATTAGACAAAACGTTCCTTTAGGTTGCAACAAAGTTATTAGTTTCTTTAAAGCCAATGATCTGCACCACAGAGCTTAAATTTTGAAAGAATTATTTAACATAAAATCATATAATGAAAACGAGAAAAAGAATTATTTCAGGAGCACAAATATAACCTGAAATCCAGTTTCCTGTTACATTTTTTAAAATCTGAAAATCTTTCGAAGCCTCTGACTTCATATGTAAATAGACCGATATGCAAAAGTTTCTGTATCAGAATAAAATGAAAATATTTTATTCAAGTCTGTATTATTATTTTTACATATAGTTTTTATTCTGTAAAAGTTGTTACCTTCCAACATTATATTCAGAAAACATTCTAGAAAACATTTATGTGATAAGAAATTCACAAGGGTTTAATACAAAAAAAAGTTTAGCTTAAATTTGGCCTATTAAATTTAATATGTTTTTTCTGGAGAGATTATAAAGCTTCATAGATAAGTTAACAACAGAAAAATCCTAAGCATGTTAATTCAGAAATAAATCTCACTGAATATGAGTGTGTGTAAACTGTGTTGGGTATTGAGGATTTCCTTACGGCAATCATTTTGCTTCTTCATTTCCTTTGTTTAGAGAGATCTGAAGATCTGATAAGTATATTCAAGAAAATGTGAAGCATAAAAGTGAAACAGAATTACACATATTGACAGTGTACACATTTGACAGTATATAGGCAAATAGTAGGTAAGTAGCTAAAGCCAGATATTTGTAGTTTTAAGTGAGGCTACTAAAAGCCAGCATGCATTGTCAATATGGAAATTTATTTTAAATTATTGGTAAAGCATTGAATGTATCACACAAAAATATCTTGCTTGCATTAAAGTAGCATGTTGGGGAAAAACTTGTTTAATTTTTCAAAATAATACGGAGCTTATACCTAGAACTAAGGAGAAACTTTCTGACTGTCAGAACAATTAACCAGTGGAACAACCTTCCTCCAGAAGCTGTGAATGCTCCAACACTGGAAGTTTTTAAGAAGAGACTGAACAGCCATTTGTCTGAAATGGTATAGGGTTTCCTGCCTGAGCAGGGGGTTGGACTAGATGACCTCCAAGGTTCCTTCCAACTTTATTATTATTATTATTATTATTATTATTATTATTATTATTATTATTATTATTATTATTATTATTATTATATTAGACAAATCTTAATGCTAGATGTAGTTCACTCTGTGAACTAATGAAAAACAGTATAGGAATAATTGTAACAAGGTTCTGGTTAGCTAGTAAATTTGAAGATGTGGTCAGACTATTTTTACTAACAAGGCTGTAAAGAACCTTTATTGCTCTATCTCTGGAAATTAGTTTTAATTAAAGATACCCAAATATAATCATGCATTTGTTGAAGGAAAAATACATGTTAGCTACCCCAAATGTACTCTGTTTAATCTAGGTGGTTAAAGTTCTTGTATTTGGAGATTTGGAGAACATGAAAGGTAGAAGGAAATGCATAAGCCTAAATCTGCTTAGGTTTATAAGAAAGCTAAAGGTTTCAGAGAATGTCGAGAAAACCAGGTACGGTAACTAACCTGCATAGAATCTTGAGAATGAATTTGGAAATAATTTGGTCAAATCATTTCAGGCTTGTCTTGCTATTAATTCTGTAGCACTTAAGGTTTGTTTTATCCTCTTTAATTGCTTCTAATAATCTGCCCATTGCTGGAAGAACTCAGTTTTCCTCAAAACTGTCATTTCTTCAGTGTTTGCTTATTTTTCAAAATACATAGGTATATCAAATGCCATAGTGCACTCCACCAAGGTCTTTTGTTTCTGAAATGTATGTCATTTGCAATATTGTGAAGAGACCAAGAAGAAGTAGTCTACAATAAAATACATAAAGTGGAACAGCAATAAAATTGTTTTGGATTCATGAAATGTTGAAAGAGAGTTTAGTCAGGTGCAGTGCTTCATATAACTCATATCTTGTCAGAACAATGCTGCCTTTTATCAACTGGCAAACTATTTTTCAGGCAGGCATCGATTGTGTGAATGGAATTCATCAGCCGAACATGTCAAGAGCAAAGAATTGTCCTTGCTGCAAGGACTTTCATGACAGTTGAGAATGAATGCAAATACAGATGACAAAATGATGCTGTTTTATCAATGGCTCTCAATCAGTGGGAAACAACAAGGAGAAAAAGAGGAGGAGAGAAGAGAGGGGAAATTGTTCATCTAAATCTTGAACTTCTATTATGTGATTGGTTGATTAATACCTTATTTGGAAAATGGTTAGCCTAAGGGGACATGTTAACTAGACCTAAACACGTCAGTTTCTAATTCCTAGCTGACATTTCTATGCATATCTTTGAGAAAAGTTAGACAGTGATGATACTAACCTCCAGTACAACTAAGTTGTATTATTTTCTCTGTTTCAAAGATATATGAATATATGGGAAAGCTATGGAGATACAGAATTTTCATAAATGTCCAACAGCTGTATTTTTGAAGTAAGTTTTCCAAATGTTGTCACATAAAGTTCCTGGCTTTAATTCTTTAAATTTTCAAGAATAACAATGCATCTTTGATGCATGAAGACATGATGTCTATCCTCTTGTGGCATGTCAAATGGAGACTGCTGCTGATAGTAGATTTACTTATGGGATAGCATTGTCTAAATCAGTGTTTCTCAAACTTGGCAACTTTAAGATGTGTGAATCTGAACTTCCAGAATTCTGCAACCAGCTATGCTGGCTGGGGAATTCTAGGAATTGAAGCCTACGTGTTTTAAGTTTGCTAAGTTTGAGAAGCACTAGTCTAAATTGTTGTCTACTGCTATGTATGAGAAGCTGACGCAAAACAATAGAAAACTTTATGACTTGGTACTAGAATAGAAGGTAAAATTTATGTTAGAAATCTAATTAAAGCATGGTTTTATTTCTTAAAATTCTAGTTGTTTTAACTTAAGTTGGTGAGAATCTAAAAGATGGTCTACATACAAATTAAGCATTTGATCAATTTTATTTTTATTTTCATTATCCATCATTGGATAATAGATGTATCAGAAAAACTAATCCTTTTCAGAATTAATAGCTGACTTAGGCCATTCTTCAGCAATGGCGAATAACCACTTCTACTCAAGTTAAAAAAATAAAAGTGATAAAACACAGATACAAATGAAATTCTGGAAAGAGAAAAATATATAAGAGCATGAGTAATTATATTTCAAGAGAAGCAAAAGCAAGGAGAAGACAAAACACTTCCAGGGCAGTTACGGATATTTAGAAAGAGAATATTGATACCTTCTGATTTCCTAAATTTTGATCATTTCAAAAAAGCAGCAATCCCCATCTACTAAACGAGATGAAGATGAAGAAAATTATTGTTCGTAAAAGTGCCCCCAAAATATAACAAGTACTGAGGAATTTGCAAGGGAGTTGGTGCATTGTGGAGGAGAACTGCTAATTTTTAGGATGGTTATTTGATTGCTTGTGTGGAGATATGTAGTTTTTTGGCTGCGGAGATGTTTGCTTCTTTGCTGAGCAGATGGTCTGAGCTCATCACCAGGATAACAAATAGAAACATAAATTTTTCAAAGGAGGAGAACTGGGAGAGAGGAAATTTGATTTACCTCCAGAGATTAAGCTTCAAAGGAAACCAGGACTTCACATCTCTAAATATATAATACAAGAGGGTTCTTTTAGATGCATATAATCTAAGAGCTATAAGGGAAACTAACTAATCCAACCTGATTTTGCCGGAAAGCAGGAACCCAAAGAGGCGCACAATCTCTGGCAGAAAAAGAGAATGATAATAATGAAGAATGCAGTTAATCAGTCATCTAGTAAAAGGAGCCCAAGACAAAAGCAAATTATCAACTCAACAGGAATTTCTTCAGATATTTTCAAAATTGAAAACCAGCAGCTGATGAGTTAGATGACAAAGGGGTTGAGAAGACTGCATAGAAATGATAAGAATGATGTGCATTTGCACTATAAATTAGATATAAGGTAATTATCCAAGCCAATGCTGACTTTATCTCAGAGTGAATCAGAAGAACTAAAGCAAACTGCAGGAGCAGGAGGACAGCTTGAAATAAAAAAATATCCCCTACTTGAAGGGGAGAGGAGAATTAAAGGCAAATGCAGATGTCTGCATTTGCCTCTAATTCTCCTCTCCCCTTCAAGTAGAGAGTAGAAAAGGAACTCATCAAGGAGAGAGAAAAGAGTAAAGGAGGGGAGAAGGAAGTAGGAAGGTTGGAGGAGAAGAGGAGAAGTGGGGAGAAAGGGGAGCAGAGTGGTGAAGGAAAGAGAAGAGAGGAAGAAGAGGGAAGCAGGGAAGAGAAGAAAGGGAGAAAGAAGGTAGAGAAGAAGGAATGTGGATACAGTGAAAGGGGAAATGGGCGAGCAACACCAAAAGTCATGTGTATGTATTTATTTCATTTTATTAAAAGTATCTTATATATGAATATAAAAAGAATGTATGTTAACATCTGATAAATATCACGGTATATGTATGGGGGAGAATTTGGAAAAATAAAAATAATTTAAAAAAAAAGAAAAAAAGAAAAGGAACTCATCAAATTTGCAGATAATAGTATGCTGGCAGGAATAGTCAACACCCTGTACAATAGGCTCAAGATCCAGATGGATCTTGACAGACTTGAACACTGGGCCCTAACTAACAAAATAAAAATCATTGTAGAGAAAAGGAAGGACTTACACTTAGAAAAGAAAACCCCAAAGTACAGGTGCAGATTAGATGAAACCTGGCTTAATAGCAGTAACTGTGAGAAGGATCTCCTAGTGGACAATCAAATATGAGTCAGCAGTGTGCGGCAGCATCCAAAAAAGCCAATGCAATCCTAGGTTGCATACCATTCTATAAAGCCTTAGTAAGGCTACACTTGGAATACTGCATCCAGTTTTGGTCACCATACTATAAAAAGATGTTGAGACTAGAAAGAGTGCAGAGAAGAGCAAAAAAAGATGAATAGGGGACTGGAGGCTAAAACATACGAAGAATGGTTGCAGGAACTGGGCATGGCTAGACTAGTGAAGAGAAGGATCAGAGGTGGCCTTACAGCAGTAGTACAGTATTTCAGGGATTGTCACAGAGAGGAGGGTGCAATCTATTTTCCAGGCACCCAAAGACCAGACAAAAAACAAGGGATGGAAACTGATCAAGGAGAGATTCAACCTAGAAATAAGGAAAAAAATTTTGACATCGAGAACAATCAATCAATGGAACAGCTTGCCTTCAGAAGTTGTAGGTGCTTCATCACTGGAAGCTTTCAAGAAAAGACTGGGCAGCCACTTGTCAGAAGTGGTATAGGTAGGTCTCCTGCTTGAGCAGAGAGTTGGACTAGAAGACCAACAAGGTCCCTTGCAACTCTTATTATTGTTATTCTGTTATGCAAATTCAACAGAGAGATGCACAACTGCTGAGACACTGTAACTCCACATTTGAAAGACCTATGTCTCTTAAAATGGAGAACAGGCTGATCTGGCCTATGGAAAAAAGGCCCATTCACAAATTATGCCTAACTTCAGCCCAGCAAATGGAAAGATGTCCTTTTCTACAATTCTGTATAATCCCAGCTGAACCACAAATAAATTAGTTCAACCTAAATCACAGAAACTAATGGGAGACTACAAAGGTTCAGAGTTACTTCTGGAAAACGTGGAAAACCTCATATGGTAGGACCCTCAACTGCAAAAAAAAAAAAAAAAAAAAAGCCTTCTCAACCTTGGCAACTTTACATGTGTGGACTTCAACTCCCAGAATTCTCCAGCTAGCCAGAATTTTGGGAGTTGAAGTCCACACATATCGTAAAGTTGCCAAGATTGAGAAACACTGCTGGCCTATAGCAATAAAATCCTCCTTTGATTTACTTGTGTCACTGAAACTGCTTAACTGCTTTCTTTTCATCAGGTTTCTAGAGGCCAGATGACAGATGAATAGACTGAGGATTTTGATAGAGTGAACTAGCATGCTATTAAATCATTCCACTTCCTCTGGCTGTCAAAAAGTGCCATGAATTTCAGTCTGAAAACTTTATTTTTTTCAGCACAAGTAGTGCTTTTTTCCTACAAAAATGGCAATGTGTTAAAATGCTATTTTTGTTACTGAAGTGACAGAAGGATGCAAGGGTTAATATCTCTAGTATGATCTGTGATTCATTCTGTTTTGATAAAAAGAACAAGCACATAGACACAGCCATACTGCTTTCAAAGAAAAATACATGAGTCATTAGTAGACAGGAGGTTTTGCAATCTAGAAGTGCGCAAAGAAAAGACACATTTTTATGAACAAGATGTACTGGGCTAAGGTAAGTAAATTGTGAATAAAAGAAATGTGCAAGTAATTAAGGATGAGAAATAATAGGTTTCTACTGTTTCAAAAGAAATATTATTCCTATTAGAATTACGGTTTTTAATCCTGAAGTCTCAAAATGTTGCACCATTATTTTTTATTTATTATTAAACTTTTATGCCACTCATCTCGCCAAAGCACCATTTGAAAATTTCAGAATAAATATTTGAAAATAGAAGCACACATTTATCTTTAAATAAAACAATGTATCCACCTCCCTTAGACTCTGGGCTCTCTCTTCTTTTATTTCTTATGTCTCTTATATTCTGGCAGATTCCCCTATCTATGCCTGCCTTCTTCAGGTTCATCACATAATCTGCCTGTCTCATCCCATGCAAGATATTCTTCTTGAAAAATATTAAATTGAGAAAAAAAACATCGTTATTAAGGTAAGTCATTAAACGTGACCCAGCAGTTCTCATCTTTCAGGTGTCCACTGATAAAATTATAATGCCATCTTTCTAAATTTTGCATAGAGTACTTTGGAATAGGGTTCTGACTAAATTGAATTAAATAAATACGCATTCATCCAGGTTTTGTTATCAGCAAATAAGTTGTGCAGGGTTGTTGTTTTGTAATTTCAAAAATGTGAAATTGAAAATAGAAAAGTATATAAAACCATATTAAATATACAGTATATGGAAGTGATGTCTCTCTTAAGTTTCTTTTCTCTCTTTTACAAATTGGCTGCATTTGCACATTAACATTAATAAACAATGGCCTCCTGAATTAAGCCAAGTATCTGGGTTTGTACATCAGATAAAATACAAACCAGATTCATATTGTAGCAGAAACCAGCCAACTGCATTTTAGTCTAACAAGCTATACATCACTTGCCTTAGTCTTTTTAAACCTTATTTTATGAATTAATATTGCTTTGCCCCAGTTTTATAAAATATGTTTTTTGAATTATATTTAACTACTAGAAATTTTGGTAAAAACCTAGTGAGTTTTAACCAATTTTAATTTTCCAGTTTACAATGTGTGCCTCTAAAATGGTTTATGTCATTTGTGGATTATGCTAGCCCTATCAACATCCTAATGTCTAAGGTGCCTCCCATAGTGTAGTAAAATTTGGACAATAACTAATTACAGTATGTTTATATAAATTTTTGGCCTGCTTTTGGGATGATTACAAATTACAAAAATTAAGATTAGGAAATATTAAAACATCAACATTTGTTTCGTGCCTTGAGTGGATCTGAAATTACTATCTCTCTCTTTTTTTGTAATGAACTCATTTTGTTGAATTATCAAAAGCATGTGTGGGTTGAGTTTGTACATTGCAATCTAGCATAAGCTGAGTGGTAAGGGTTTTTTTTGAGGGGCCACTTCTCCCTAATTTCACCTAGCAGTCCCATTGGCTCTGGCTGAAGGGGCATATTGCAGGTGCCTAACATTAGAGGGTATCATCTGATTGGATCCAAGAAGAGGGCTTTTCTGCTACTATACCTACCATTTCCCCCAAGGTTGGGATGGTGTTCTGAAAAGGCCTAAAGACCTGTCTGGTCTTCACTATCTGGTCTGGGGATCAGATAGTGGTAGCCTTATAAATGGTTGTACTGTTCCTGAATTGACTGTGCTTATGCAATTGATTATACAGTGTTTGCCTTGTGTTAATGTTTCTAACCTTGTATGGTTATTTTTACTTTTTTTTAATATTGTGTTTTAATTTTATAAGCTGCCCAGAATTACATGAGATGGCATCTATCTAAATCAAATCAATAAATAAATTCAGTTACAGTGGCAATGGGTGCCCTGTTGGAAAGATCTGAAGCACTGGATTAAAGCAGAATTCCCTGGAGAAAATCAGTGTGGGTGCTAAGACTTGAAATGACTTAATAGCACATTATCGTCAACTTCAGTGCAAAGTTCACTTGAATCAAAGGGGTAAGAATAGCTTTTTCTAAAAAGAAAGACAATTCAGGAATTTAAGAGAAATAAGATCTCACTTTAGGTTTAAATACCGTAAACAGATTGTATATATCTTATTTCTTTAAAAGACTTCTTACTATGATTTCAGTTTTGTATTACCAAACATTGCAACATTTCCATTTTTGAAAGATCTGGAAGAGGTATGATTTATTTTGATCATTCAGGTTTGGACCACTTACTTTGGCCGCTTTGCTATTAAAAATAGACATTAAAAAGAGGCTCTTCGTTTATTTTCTAAAAGTAAATTGGGGCAGTAAATAAAGGTTATTTTTAAAGCTTTAAAAATTCATAATCTGCATCTTTAAAAATGCTAGGGCATTGGAAATTTAAAATACACTGGTAACTGTACAAACATGTAAACAGATAAGCAATTATGCGCAGGAATTGCTTTGTCTACTAAAATTTGCAATCCAGAATTGTCTAGAGACTCCTCTGGCACTAGTACGAGCAGCTATTTTTAAATAGAAACTACATTGGGCAGATATGTATGTCAGGGGGAAGGTAGTCATTCTACTTATGCCCCTAATATATCATTAGCAGAATGTTCCCTTTATAATATAAAAAAAACCCACAATTTTATTTATACGTAGTCAGAAATAAACACAACTTCTTTATTAGGTCACCTTGTCACTACTCAATTAGACTACTATAATGTATTCTACATGGGGCTGCCTTTAGAGGTCATTGCATTTTATCCAAAATGTAGTGGCCCATGTATTATCAGGCATTCAGCAGTCACAACCTATTAGATCCATGCTGCAGAATCCATGTTAGCTTCTTGTGCAACTTAAAGTTAGCCTATAATGTTCTTTATGGTTTGGCATCAAGGACCTGCAGGGCTACATGAGAATCGCTTACACTGATTTGAACTTGCCAGGAAAAGCAAGAAATGCGGAGTTCTCCTCCCTGAGGAGGTGTGGGCAACCAAGACACGAAAGGGCTGTTCTTTATGTTAAACTAACCCTGACTCTTGCTACTTTCCAAAAGCATTTAAAATCAACTCTTCTAGACAAGGCTGAAGCTTGATGCCTGCCTTCTGTTTTTCTTGGATTGGATTTTCTGGTTTATGTACTTTGTTTTCGGATGTTATTAGATTGTGGTTACATTTGTGAGATGGGTGGCAATATAAATTAAATACATAAATGTTTCAAAGTCGGTATTTTGTGAAACCAATAACAATCCTATGGGAGCATACTGGCATAGATGGAAGAAAAAATTAAAGTCTCTCAAGTCTAGTTGGTTCATTAACTTCCTGGACAAGTATAAGGAAGTAGTCCACCATTGCTTCATCCATACTGTGGATAACACCCTGAGCTTTTCTAGACATTTCCCAAGTCCCAACTGGGTTCAATCCTGCTTAACTTTCTAAAGTAAGTGATTATACTATGGGCTCAAATGTGATTTAAAAACAAAACACTGTTGTTTGAATAATCTGTAAGCAAATTCTGCTTATTTAAAGAGAAGACAGCAAAGCATACCCAAACATTTAAATTCATGTACAAAAAACTGGAGAGTGTTTTATTAAAACAGTTGAAATACACAAGTGTTATCCAGTTTGTAGATAAGATCTTATAAAGCCAATAAAGTATGAAAGTCAGTATAATTTAAAAACCTGATAGTTTTAAAAGTTGGACATTTTTTCTTTTAAAACTACCATTTTTCATAAGTTTCTGAAACACTATCAAAGAAACAGTACAACAAGAAAGTTTAAAGTAGTTCTCCATCAGATTAGGTGACACAACGTTCATTAGGTTAGCAGGAAATGACCTAATGATTCTAGTATAATCAGTATAAGATAGTATCCATATTTTCAGGCAAGGATAGGAAGTTACCTTTAAGTACTGAAACAAAATTAGCCCCAAGTCTCCCTACAAAGAAGACACAATTCAGTTTCTCCATCTCCACTGCTCTTCAAAGACAAATATAATACAAGATTCTGAAGTCATCAAAAATAACTTTACTATAAAATTTTGCTTTGACCTTTTATCAAATTTTACATAAGGAATAAAATTGCTAAACCTTTATCAAAACTGGCAAGATTGGGAAGAAAAACTAACACAAAAATTATGGCCTTTAATCCATGTCAGAATTATCTGTAGAAATTCAGAGCAGAGAAAAAAAATGGAACCTGTCTTGTTTGGGTTTTTTTCCCCCCTTTCCTACCCTACAGAGACACATAAAAGACCCCCCCCCAGACCAAATCTGAATATACCCTATTTTAACCTATTGGTTTGATGAGGCCAAGAGGTTTGTTTAGATAATCATTAGCAAGTGCACATGCCAGAATAAGCATACACATTTTTAAATTTTATTTCTTTTTTGAGGAAAAATGAATTATATCCCCAAGTTCTTCAGATCACACAGAATTGTGCCTTGAGTATTCTGGATACTTTGGCAGCAAAAGAAGTGAGATCTGAAACAGACTCTAAGTTCCTTGTTGAAAATGAAACAAAGGATAGGGTTGACTCCTGCCTGGGCAAAGGTCATCCAGACAGAGGTGGTCAAATAAATCTGGGGAATTGTGCTGGCCTTGATGAAGACACGTAAATAACAAGTCACAATGTAAGGAGACCAAAGAAGCAAGAATAGGAGGGTGATCATGTAAAACATCTTGCAAATCCTCTTCTCTGTTTTAAATTCCTCTAAGACCAGCAGTCTCTTGATCTGACTATGAGTAGTATTTTGTCGGATGCCCACCAAGGTAGGAGGGGTAGGACCCCGGCCAAAGCCAGCTGTCCAGTTAGCAGCTGCCTGACCAGTAGCTCCAGGTCCATGGAAAGTCCAGTTCTGGCTAATGGCTGGTACCAATTGGGCCGGCTTCATTTTGCGGTGGCTATGAATGAAGAAGAGGAGCTTGATGTAAACCAGGTGGGTGGCCACCATGACCGTGGCAAGCATGAGCATGAAACCCAGGGTGTCATTGGCCTTGACATAACGGTGCTCAAAGATGCACTGCTCCTCCTCACGGATGAACTTGTAAGTGCCGACGTCAAAGACAGGGGGGAAGGCCATGGCCAGGGAGAGCGTCCACACCATGAACACCACGGCCAAACAGGTCCAGCCAGTCATGCGCTTGGCATAGAAGCGGTGATGGGCAATGGCCATGTAGCGCGTCACCCCCACGCAGAAGAGCAGAAAGGCGGCGTGGAAGCAGAACAGCACCGACAGGAAAGCCAGCACTTTGCAACTGAGCAGCCCATGGGGCCAGAAGCCCGCCCCGCTGTGCACCGAAAGCATGACAAAGGGGAAGCAGGCCAGGGAGCGCAAGCCATCTGCCAGGCACAGGTCCAGGAGCAAGTAATAAGGGGCCCTGTGCAATTGGCGGTCCTTGAGGATGAGCCAAGCAAACAGCAGGTTGCCAGCAAGGCTGAGGCAAAGGATGAAGCCCAGGGAGGCCAGCTTCAGGCCAGAGGCGCCCAGGAGGCTGCCGGGGCTGGGTAGGTGGGGGCTGCTGCTGCTGCTGAACTCGCTGGAGTTCGCCATCTAGCAGGGCCGGCGACAGTCCCCTTCTCTCCCGACGCTCAGGCACAGCTATGGCGGGGGCGGGGTCGAGGCTGCTTCTTCAGCGGCCGCCGCCGACTCGCCCTGCCGGGCTCTTCTTCAGGCTTCAGCCGCTCCGGAGCCCCTTTTGGTGGCACCCATGTCCCTCAGCAGACCTCCTCGCGCCGGGGAGCGAGAGCCCGCCCGCTCTCCCTTCCTCGGCCTCGCTCCCAAACCGCAGCGCCGTCCTCCCGCACAGCAGCGACGAGCTCAGGCTGTGCGCAAGGCAGGCGCCCCCATTCCGGCATGGTAGGCTCGCTTTAGCGTAGCCGCCTTCTCCGGCACCCTCCGCGCCGCGGGCTTTCCCTTCCCCTCGGCAGCCCGGCTGGCTCGCGAGACTCCCGCTTAATCCGGGGGGCGGCCATGCTGAAACTTTAAAACGCCCCCCGGGGAGAAGGGAGCGGGCCAGGAAGGCTGGAGGAAGAGGAGCCGCTCCCGCGCGTCTCCATTCCCCGGACCAGGGCGCGCGGTTGTCACCGCCGCCGTTCTTTCACTATTGTGTCTTCCTCTTGGCGGTACCTTCTGCTCGCTTTTGGCCGTCACCCCCAGAAGGATTCCGCGGAAAGGCTGGGCTCGCCGCCGCCGCCTCCTCCTCCAGCTGCTGGCCGCGGTCTTCCCAGACGGCACCCAGCGAAGGGCGAGCACGCCCCGGCAGCTTGCGCGCGGGGAGCCCCAGGTCAGCTTCCAGCGCAGCCACCTGGTCTTAGTGGCTGCAGCTGCACTTCCGGTGGGCATGCTTCTCCGGGGACGATGGAGGGAGGGACAGGCTGAGCCTGCGCAAAAGGGGACCAGGGTCGGTCAGCGGCAAGCGTCGCTTCTTTCATTGCGGATTTCGGTCAGAGAACGCGTTACCCCGCTGAATTCATGGGAGGCTCAGTGCTGAGCATCCGAGCCTCGCCTGCCTGCTTGCCTGCCAAAATCCATCTACCCAGCCATCAGCATCCCCACAGATCAGGGCAGTACAGCTAATGGCGAGGCACAGATGATCTTCAAAAACAAACCGAGGTTCCTGACAATAAACACACATAGTAAGTCACAACAGTGCCAAAATGATGTCATTGGGATCATGATTTCATTGTACAAAGGATGCCATAGCGTGCAAGTTTGCAACAAAATGCCACGGCTGGGTGATTTCCTCCTTCCCAAACATCACTAAGGTCCTGGGCCAGTTGCTGCCAGTGACCCTTCGTTTCCGGGCAATTTGCCCTTTAAAGGGCTATTCGCTCATCCTTTTTTCTGCACGAAATAAGCCTCCTCTGACTTGGCCGTATTCTCCCTTTCCCTCAAATATCAACGAGAATGAAAATAAGTGCCAATCAGCATGCCGCAAAAGGAAAGGGGTGGGCCAACTGCTTTCTTGAAGCTGGTTGGTTGGCTCCTCCTCTCACTTTGCAGTTTGCTGGGACTCAAGTTCTCATTCTCGGCTTCCTTGATCTGCTAGGGAAAAGATGAGCTATAAATGCAGTAAACAAACAAAGTAAATGCTAGGTTCATAGTTCAGCCATGTTTGAAAGACCACAGATCTATCTCTCCTGGTTAATATCTCTCATTTAACTGGAGAATTCACTGCATGACTCCAGGCTGGTTGCTTGCTGGTCAATTTATTTCTTATGATACAGGTACAGGTAATTCTTTACATAGGACTACAACTGAGCCAAAAATTTCTGTTGCTAAACAAGACAATTATTAAGTGAGTTTTGCCCCATTTTTTATCTTCCTGGCCACAGTTGCTAAGCGAATCACTGCATTTGTTAAGCAAATTAAGCAGTCATTAAGTGAATCTGACTGCCCCCCCTTGACTTTGCTTGTTAGAAGCCAGCTGGGAAGGTTACAAACGGTGATCACATGATCCCCGGACAGTGCAACTCTCATAAATATATGTCAGTTGCCAAGCATCCAAATTTAGGTCGTGTACAGTAATTATGGTGTGATGCAATGGTCATACGTGTGAAAGTCAGTCATAAGTCACTTTTTTCAGTGCCACTATAATTTTGAACGTCCACTAAACAAATGGTTGTAAGTCAAGGATTATCTGTAGTGCTCCCAAAATATGCTTAAGAGGAGAGTGGAATTGTATATATAACTTTCTGTGCCAACCTTGAGCCGGTGAGATTTGAACCGCTGACCTGCTGAACACAGTCAGCTAAAGTGGCCTGCAGTACTGCACTCTAACTGCTGCGCCACCTCAGCTCTTAGCTTGGAGTCAGAGCTACTTCTGCTCCCTTTGAAAAGTTTCCAGAAAAGTGGTCACATTTGGTGTTTTGCAACCTAAACCAACAAATAGGTGACACCTTAAAGCAGGGGTCTTCAAACTTGACCTTTTTATGACTTGTGCACTTCAACTCCCAGAATTCCTTAGCCAGGTACACTAGCTGAGGAATTCTGGGAGTTGAAGTCCATAAGCCATAAAAGGGCCAAGTTTGAAAACCCCTGTCTTAAAGCTTAATAAATTAGTTATTATCTTAAATTTGTGTGAAATGTTATTTACATGAAAGAAGCTTGTGCAAAAATAAAAATTAATAAGGAACTACAGCATATTTTGCTGTTCCTGCATCTTTCAGTGAAGCAGTCGACGTGATGTGCCGGTGCCTGGAAGATGTGAGGGTCTGGATGGGGGTGAACAGGCTTAGACTCAACCCTGACAAGACCGAGTGGCTCTGGGTCTTGCCTCCCAAAGGCCAACTGGATGGTCCATCTTTAGTCCTGGGAGGGGCAAATTTACCTCCCTCAGTGCAGGCACACAACTAAATCTGGAACAACATCTATCAGTTGCGGCCAGGGGGACCTTTGCACAGGTTCGCTTAGTGCACCAGTTGCGGCCTTATTTGGACCGGGAGGCTTTACTCACAGTCACTCATGCCCTTGTCACCTCAAGACTGGATTACTGTAACACGCTCTACATGGGGCTACCCTTGAAGGGCGTTCGGAGGCTGCAGTTGGTTCAGAACGCAGCCGCGAGAGCGATTGTGGGCGCGCCAAGGTACGCCCACGTGTCACCTATCCTCCGCGAGCTGCACTGGCTTCCTGTGGGTCTCCGGACGCAATTCAAGGTGTTGGTTATCACCTTCAAAGCCCTTCATGGCATAGGGCCAGGTTACTTACAGGACCGCATTCTGCCGCACAGCTCCCAGAGACCGGTGAGGTCCCATAGATTGGGCCTCCTTCAGGTCCCGTCGGCCAGACAATGTCGGCTGGCGGGCCCTCGGGGAAGGGCCTTTTTTGTGGTGGCTCCGACCTGGTGAATCAACTTCCCCCCGAGGTTCGAACTACTCCCACCCTGTCGGCCTTTAAGAAAGCCGTTAAAACTTTCCTATTCCGGCAGGCCTGGGGCTGATGTCCCTGGGGGGCCAGGATATGATCGGACTCGCGGTATGACTGTATTATTTTATTGTTTTATGATTGTTTTAACTTTGTACGCCACCCTGAGTCCTTTGGGATTGGGCGGCATATAAATATTTGAAAATAAATAAATAAATTTGCTGAGAGGAAAGACTTCAGACTTGACTTTTTATCAAATCTTAAACTCCGTAATTAATAAAATTGCTTTAACTTAATCAAAATGGGCATGATTAACACAAACTTAAGGTCTTTTAATCTATGACAGACCAAACTATAGGTAGTCCTCAACTTACAACAGCTTATTTAGTGATCACTCAAAGTTACAACAAAACTGAAAAAAGTGACTTATGACCATTTTTCACACTTACGACCAATGCAGCATTCCTGTGGTCACATGATCAAAATTCATACGCTTGGCAACTGATTCATATTTATGACGGTTGCAGTGTCCTGGGGTGTGTGATCACCTTTTGCAACCTTCTAACAAGCAAAGTCAATGGGGAAGCCAGATTCACTTAACAACCATGTTACTAGCTTAACAATTACAGTGATTCACTTAACCATTGTGTCAAGAAAGGTTGTACAATAGGCCAAAATTCACTTAACAAATGTCTCACCTTGCAATAGAAATTTTGGGCTCAATTGTGGTTGTAAGTCAAGGACTACCTGTATAGAAAATGTACTTGTCTAACTAGTGCCACAAATTGTACTGCTTCAAAACTATACGGAGGCAGAATTTCAGCAATGAATCCTTTTGCAATATGATTGAAGAGCCGGTGTCTATGGTTTATTTTAGAAATCTAAGCAGGGTGAGAGAAACTCTCTGAGAGTTGAGCTTGATTTGAAGCAGATTTTACTATGGCTCCTTATATTACAATCTGCATCATTGCAAAAGGAAGGCCACAGTTCATTGACAGCACACATCTTTGTATTACAAAGATCCAAGTCCCTCATGCTTATAAGTTGCGTTGAAATATTCCTTACCTAAAATCTTGGTGAATCATTCCCATTTCCCAAGAATAAATACTGAATTACATAGAATATAAATATACTGAATTACATAGAATATAAAAGGAGTTTTTTGACATTACATCTTTTAATCTTCAAGACAGAACTCAAGGGCTAAGAAGTGCTTTCTATTACAGAAACAGAAGAAAGTAGTAGTAGTAGTAGTAGTAGTAGTAGTAGTAGTAGTAGTAGTAGTAGTAGTAGTAGTAATAAAGTTGGAAGGGACCTTGGAAGTCTTCTAGTCCAACCCCCTGCTCAGGCAGGAAACCCTATATCATTTCTGACAAACGGTTGTCCAGTCTCTTCTTAAAAACTTCCAGTGTTGGAGCATTCACAACTTCTGGAGGCAGGTTATTCCACTGATTCATTGTTTTAACTGTCAGGACATTTCTCCTTAGTTCTAGGTTGCTTCTCTCCTTGATTAGTTTCCATCCATTGCTTCTTGTCTTGCCTTCAGGTGCTTTAGAGAATAGCTTGACTCCCTCTTCTTTGTGGCAACCCCTGCGATATTGGAACACTGCTATCAGGTCACCCCTAATCCTTCTCTTCATTAAACTAGTCAAATCCAATTTCAACAACTGTTCTTTAAATGTTTTAGCCTCCAGCCTCCTAATCATCTTTGTTTGTCTTCTCTGTATTCTTGCTAGAGTCTCAACATCTTTTTTACATTGTGGTGACCAATACTGGATGCAGTATTCCAAGTGTGGCCTTACCAAGTGGTATTAACATTTCATGTGATCTTGATTCTATCCCTCTGTTAATGAAGCATAGCACTATGTTGGCTATTTTGGCCGTTGCAGCACACTGCTGGCTCATATTTAAGTGATTGTCCACTAGGACAATCTACCACCTATACTGTACCTCTGCATTTGGTTTTTCTTGCCTAAATGTAGAACCTTACTTTTTTCACCATTGATTTCATTTTGTTAGATAGCGCCAATGTTCAAGTCTGTCAAGATCCTTCTGTATCTTAAGCCTATTTTCTGGCTATTCCTGCCAGTTTGGTGTCCTCTGCAAATTTGATGAGTTCCCCATCTATCCCCTTGTCCAAATCATGAAGATGTTGAAGAGCACTGGGCCTATAATAGAGCCCTGGGGCACCCCACTACACACTTCCCTCCATGTGGATGTAGTTCCATTGAGGACCACATGCTGAGTACAACCAGGTAACCAGTTACGAATCCATCTGGTGGTGATGCTGTCTAACCCACATTTTTCTATATCTGTTTAATAGAGCATTTCCACAGAACAGTATTCTAATCTTTGGAAAAGCCAAGTAAGAAAAAGTTTTAAAAATTCTACCACCACTTAAGATAAATTAATAACCACATAAATACCTTGACATTTTGACCACCATAAATATTGACAGAGCTGATAACATAATTATTGCTCCCTTTTTGTTGCATATATTAAAGATCGATGTTACTGTATGTAATAGACTAACTTGAGTGTTTTAAATTTGTTTTTAAAAAATTATAGCAGTAATAATTTTTAAAAAAATCATTAAAAAAAACAGTACAAGTCAGTGTAGACCTGGGCTGGAAAGCTAACC